GGCATCGTATCCACGATGGGTTGTAATACGACATCCATCTCTTCGAGAGCCGTAATGCGGTCCCCATGATTCACCATGGTCAGAAATGGTGCTAATGGCAATATGTTCCCTCGTCTGATGTCGATCCTAGGCTCTGATACCAACTGTTATGCGGCGCCATCCTTAGGTTCCTTGGAAGGGTGACGTAAGGCTAAGCAACCGATGTCAGTGCGATTGTTGTCCGTCAACTGAGGTCCCCTCCGTACGCTAGACGAGATTGTCAGTGTCGTACGGGAAAACCAATGTCAAGAGAAATTGCGGAAACGGAAATGAGAATTGAGAATGAAAGCTTGATTGCATTAATGAAAGCTATTACAAAAGGCTACGCGGTGTCGAGGGGGAGAGACACCAATATAGAGAAATGTTTGCTTGCTTGGTCCCCCCTAATAATGCTTAAAAAAAACCAAAGTTTCAAGACTAGACTTAACTAAGCTAGAGAAACATAATGGAAGTACATGAAATAAAACTACTCTATATTTATAATGAAAAGGACTTAGTTTTCTACAAGACAGAAAACAGGTCTGTGGGCAGCAACTTTGACTTTCGTATCAGGGTCTACGCGTGCGGTGCTGTTGGCGCGCACGGCAGTATTTAGAGTCCGCCTGCGGCAGGCGGCTGGCCGCTGGCAAGGCATCAAGATCTGCGCGCGCGACATTGTCTGTGCGTGCGGCGCTGTTGGCATTTACCAGCCGCTGGGCGCTGGGGTTGGCTATCGGTGGGGCGACAGAGGCACATGCGCGCTTGTCACTTGGCGCTGCCAAGACCACGGGGCCGACCATGGCGCTAGGCGTTGGGAGGCTTGCCAAGACGCCATGGGGTGCGTCCAAGGGGTCATGGGGCATGGCTGGAAAGCCGCCCATGACATATATCAAGCAAGGTGAAGCATGGACTATCAGAGTTAAACAAGCAGCATGGCTGACTCAAAAGATCCTAGGAGCTGGCAAGTATCTAATTGAAGCAAATATTAGAGTGGAAGAGGTGATGAATGCAAATTGTTACTCCATCAGAGATATATACAACAAGCTATGGGGAGATTTTCCAAAGGTTCCATGGAGGAAATTGCTATGTAACAATGATAGTTGTCCTAATGGATCTTCATTGTATATATAGCCATACAAGGCAGGTTATACACTAGAGATAGACTTATCAAATGGGGTATCAGAACAAACCCAGTTTGTGCTCTATGTGAAGAAGCTGACGAGGATCATGAGCATTTATTTTTTGAATGTAAATACTCAGCAGCTATATGGTGGAAATTATTGTAATGGGCTGGAATAAGAATAACTGTTAAAAGATGGACTGAGGAGATCAGATGGGCTAAAAGTTTTGCATCAGGGAGAAGATCATCGGCAGCCATATATAGATTGATGCTAACGTGTGATATTTATCGCATATGGCAGGAGAGGAATTGGAGAATTTTTCGAAACCAGAAGACGATGTGAGGACATGGTTAGATTGATAATTCAAGAGGTCCATTGTCGGGGGAGTCTGAAATCCAGTTTAGTGAAAAGTCTACAAAGTTTGAACTTCTATCCTTAGATAATATTGTTTACGTAGATTTGGTGTTGACTAGTTAATAGGAGTTTCTATAGCTGGGGCTGTATGTCCAACTGTAGAATGATAGAGAAGGGTTACATGGGTAGGAATAAAATTCAGAACTGATTTGATTAAAGTAGTACGCTCTGCTAAAGTAAGAAATCTTGTCTTCCATCCCTATAGTCGGTAAGTCATACGGTCAAGGATGGATTGGTAATCCTACACGCATGTTGAGGATAGTAGCTAATTGTTGATGTATGTGTGGTACATTTTTGGAAAAGATGATTTTGGATTTTTGAAAATTTATATGTTGACCCGATTGGGCACTTAAGTGTTGGAAAAGGCCGATTATAGTAGTGTCTGCTTTAGCAAAAAGGACAAGGTCATCTGCATAAAATAAGTGCGACAATTTTGGTCTAGCATGACTTATTTTAATGGGATCCTGATTGTGGTTTAATATTTCAGCTTTGATAAGTTGAGAAAGGGTTTCCATAAAAATAATAAATAAGTAGGGTGAAAGCGGATATCCCTGTCGGATCCCACGGGATGGTTGAAAGAAAGGGCTGGGGTGCCCATTGATAAGGACGGAGATGGAAAAGGTAGTAATACATGACAAAATAAGAGTAATGAGTTTAGTGGTAATGTTAAGACGTTGAAGGGAGAACCGAATGAAAGACCATTCGAGCCTGTCAAAAACCTTTTCAAGATCTATTTTCAGCATCATATTCCCTACGCGCCCAGAAGTTCTGCGGAAGGAGTGTAATGCTTCTTGGAAAATGATGGCATTATCGATAGCGCGACGACCTGGTATAAAGCTACATTGAGTTGGGTTAATGAGATGTGGAAGATCTTGACGTAGTCGATTAACAATGATTTTAGTAATTGTTTTATAGACGGTGTTGCAAAGGATGGGTCGATATTGAGAGATAGATTCTGGATGTTTTACTTTGGGTATGAGAGTAAGGAAGGTTTTATTTAGCTGGGGATCAATGCGGCCTGTGGTGAAGGCCTCCTTGCAGAGTGTTGTAACAGCCGACCTGGTAGCATGCCAAAACTTTTGAAAAAATATAGGATCTAGGCTATCGGGACCCGGGGTCTTTAGTGGCTTAAAAGAGTGGATTGCCTGAAAGACTTCAGACGTTGTTAAAGGTCTAGTAAGAAGTGTTTGATCGTGATCTGACAAAAAATTGGTTGTAGGAGTGGCGCAAGTATTTCGGGAAAGAGGGAGGTCAGTGGTGTATAATGTTGAGAAATGGTTATGTATAGTGGTGCGAATCTGTCGGGGTCAAACATCCAATTTCCAACATAACCATTGAGTCCAAGCATATGATTACGTGACTCTTATGAATTGTAGACAAATGGAAGACGCGAGTGTTGGTGTTACCCTCATTTAACCATTGGACACGAGATTTAAGCTTCCATAAATCCTCCTCATATTTGAGGAATTGATTAACCTCCGTAATTAGTTTGTTTTCCAAGTTATAGTGGAAACTATTTTTTCTAGTGCGTTCCATATGTTGGAGACCCTGGAGGTGTGCCAGATTCACCCTTTTTTTTTTTAGGAAAAGATGTTACCAAATGTGTTGTGGTTCCAGTATTGTACTTGTGTGGTAAATGATTCCAGGGCATTCATATAAGGGGATATTGTTTATGCCAGTTGGTATCTACCACCGAAGGGAAGGTGGGGTGTTGTAACCACATGGTTTCAAATCGAAAAAATGAAGCTGATTTAGGAATAGTTTTAACTAGATTTAGGAGTAAATGATAGTGGTCGGAGTAAGTGCGAGTGAGATGTAGCACACTGGAATCTTCAAACAGCTGCAACCATGCCGGGTTTGCAAAGAAGCGATCAAATCGTTCTAAGATTAAAGTATTGTGCGGTTTTCGATTATTTGACTAAGTAAAATGACTACCTGCAAAACCTAGGTCTATCATATTAATATTATGAAGGCATTTATTAAATGTGGCAGATCTATTAGTATTAATAGGGCTGCCTCCAAATTTTTCGTTTGAAGTCGTAACTTCATTAAAATCGCCGCAAAGAAGCCAAGGAGAGTTATGATTTGTTGAGAAAATTTGTAAGTTGTCCCATAATATTTTTCGAGAGTGGTAGGATGTGCTGGCATATATAAAAGAAATGAGCCAAGGGGGAGAGGATTGACTAACCTGCACGGAGGCGTGAATTTCCTGGGCAGTCGCAGTGATAGGGTCTACCAGCAATTCATTGGCACGCCAAAGGAGGACCATTCCACCTGAATATCCTTCAGCAGCAAGTTGAATCATATCTGTGAAGTTGAAAGCATATCATATCTGTGAAGTTGAAAGCATCTAATAAAGAGGCGTGGTCTTCCATCTTAGTCTCAGTAAGGCACAACATGGACGGATTATTCCAGTTAAGTAGGAAGCAGAGGTTTCTTCGAATTCCAGACCATTGGCTCCTCGGCAAATCCATAGCATGATCGTCATTTGATTATTGGTTGGTGGTAACGAGCTCCCTGCCGGAGCTAGGGACATTGCAAGATTCATGTTGGGAGAGTGCGGATCCTCCTGTTGCTGTTGAGGTGGATTCTCCAGTAAATGGTCGGCCCTGAACGTAAGTATCATGACTGTGACATATTTCTGGGCCACACAGAAGGGGTCGAGGCGGATATTCAAGAAGGCTTGGAGTAAGTTCTGAGGGAGATGGATGAGGAACTTTCTTTCGATATTTCCTTGCATGGACAAGCTCAGGTAGTTGTTCAAAGTTAGGGTCTCCATGAATGTCTCAGGGGTGTTTGGTGGATCCTCCAGGAAGATATACTGCTAACTCTCAAGATTGATAAATATTGATACCTCTCGGATAGAGTACTAGAAATGAAAGATCTATGAGATAATAAACTATTCGTTTATAGCTATCCCTGGCAGTAAATAAAAGAAAAAGAGATTTTCTTGCATAATCCAGATAAATCAACTTTTATATATGAATCTGGGAGAATTTGTATGGAAAGTATGGAGTCCCTTTCCACCTTTTCATCTGCAAATAATTTCTGATGCGAAAACACAGAACCACAACTGATTATTTAATAGGTAAAAGACTGGATATCCCAAATGAATTGGCTTCGCTAAATATCAAGTGAGGAAAAAAAAACAATAAAAATTGCTGCATGATCCAACTGAATGTGAAGAATCTGTTGATTCATTCAGCTAAAGCTTTGACGTTCTTTGTCTTTTACTTCATTCAATACAATTTTTACATGAACCATGCGAGACTGTTTTGAGTTAGTAGAAATAAAAATGCCACAAAAAGAAGGAAAAAAATTGGCGATCAAGAGACCTTACATTTTTTAAATCTACTTTGTTGCAGCTTCTGGTTTTAGGAGTCACTCGCTTCAGCTGATGGTCAAATATCAATTCTTTAAAATCTTTTGTTTTTTTCCCATGGTGGATGTTCAATTATGATTTCTTTTTCTTTTTTTTTAAAGGGTAATAAATGTATAATAAACAGCACAAAGCGCTGGATTTCTTTACAAATGAGCAAAAAACCATAAGTATAGCCCTCTTCTTATCTTAAAGGGACTATGAGATCTATTACAGTTCCTGCCTCATTTGCATGTTACATTCTATCCCAAAAGTGAAATAACATGATAATCTAACTTAATCCTCGAGTGGATTTACTTCTCTTTAAAACATCTTGAGTTCCTTTCTCTTCATATCACCTACCAGATACAAGCTGGAATTGTAAACCACCAGCTATTCCTTGCTTTGTCCAATCGTTGCCTATACCAACACCAGAACCATTTGATTCCGGCAAAGTTGAGAAATATCTGCCATAACTGTTTGATTATGATTTATGTACAATGTATCTATACCAAGGGAAGTCTAATGTATTTCTCCTTCCCAGCTGAAGGTCAATATCAGTTGTAAATTCTCTGCTTGTTTATGGTGGGGATGCTCAATATGATTTCTACACAATGTACCTTCCCCCCACAGGAAAGCTATAGTTATCCTTTCCCAGATTTTGATGAGAAACCTTGATGTACAGAGAATACAGACAGCAATTCCAGAATCTCTAATTATGTGACTGACGACAGTATCAACCTTTGCAGCTATACAAGGCAGGCATTTCATGACCTTTGGTAATTAACAGTTCCTTGTCCATGCCAAAAATCTGCTAATGAAATGCTTTAAACAGGAGCAATTACTTGTGCAGAGTAGGGATCCCTATAATATCAAGCCTCACTTGCATTCTTGAATTCTTCCTTGAGTATGTTGTGGATTTTCATCCTCAAACGAGATGCTTCTTCAGGTTTGAACCACCTTCGTCCAAACTGACGATAGGAATATTTCAATTTAAGGACTGCAGCAAGTATTCAAGAACTAAAGTTGGAGAAAGCTATCAGTAAACAAAACTTATTACCATCACGAAATCCTTCTTTTTAAGCCTTCCATGAACTTCTTCCATGAAACGCTCCATAAAGAAAAGAACAAAGAGACCGCAATCATACTCATTTCTTTGTTGTGGGACCTGTTACCAGGAAAGTGCAAGGAAAGAAGTTGTCGTGAACTTGCAGGCATAGTCACGAAATATGTACACAAATTTGCTTCTACAGATTTCACAAAATTCTCAAGTTAAATCCAGAATTGAGCAAATGTTTTAGATCCCCTCCCCCTGGTTAACTAAGATTTTTTAGGATATCCTTTTTAGGTGCCAAGGAAAAACACAAAAAAGAAAAGGAGGAAGAAACTAAGCCAGATAGTAAAAATTTTGGAATTTTAAGATAACCCAAAGCCATAAAAAAGAAGATCATCAAAAAACACAGCCGCTAGTCTTTTCCACTGCACCAGAGAAACCATTTCTTTTCACACAAAATCTGCAAAATGTTATATACACCAACAGCTGAAAAGAATTATCCACCAACTAGAGAAACTAAAACATGGTAATTCTACCATACTGTAGGGCATGAAAAGCTAAGATATCTGTATATATCATTGCTGAAACTCTGATGTAACACAGAACATGTGTCAGTTTTATTAGCCATATAGATTCCTTAAAAAGAATGTCCAACCATCCAACCGTGTCCCAGGTCATGAGAAACGAATTCCAATAACAAAAGCTCATATCCTGTATGATGCCAACCCCAACTCCCTATATCACAAGATATTGAATGGACAAGATAGCTTCTAGTATGAAAAGAATTCCAAAGACTGCTTCAAGAAAGAGATGTAAGAGCATAAGATTCAAATGAAAGAATACCGGAATGACGTTTTCATCTATTCTTCGTGGAAGATTTTCCCATATTTTATCTGAAAAAGGAAGAGTTGACACTTCTCCTTGTCTTAAGAATTTCCATTCTTGTTCCAAAAATCTGCGGGACAAAATCCACATCTCCTTTGAGTTAAAATGAAACTCCAGGTGTAAGAAGCTTTCAGTTCAAAATGCTATCTTACTGCAAGTTTGAGCAGCAAAATGGTAATAATAGAGTAAATCTCTAATACTGTAATATTCAGATTATGAAGCTATAACACAATAAAATGACCAAAGAGCCTCAATCGAAACATCCAAACAATATATAGATATCCAAGGTATGAAACCCTGAAAGAACCAGATTTTTATCGCTGCCAATTTCTCACACCAACAAGAAGTGAATAGCACGAACATAGCCATTCGAGTATTACCGTGTGGTATAGATATCTTTTCCACATAAGCCCCAACTATCACTAACTTCCCGTGCAAGTTGATCATGCTGATAAAGTACCCATTTCTGACCAGCACAAGTACGATACAGTAAACAAAGTAAACTAAAAGGTCCAGATAACAGCCTGTCAAGGCTGAAGAATATAGGTGAAAGAAAAGGAAACAAAGATTTAAGCTACAAGCCGACAAAGAGGGAATAGATTGCTAATGAAATTATGCCCCTTTAGTTCTCAGGCAGTTACAGTTCCCGCTGTAATTAATTATCTATTACTATATCGAAGCATATCATAAACAAGACGAATATAAAACAAGACGCTTCAAATAGGCCAAGTTATAGCTTAAATAATGCCAACGTTCAGAAATTATTTGTCAAAATGGTACTGGCATATGCTATGTTGCGAGAAATCTTCAAAATTACTACCGCACCCATGTCGACACGACATGGGTGTGGGTGTGGGTGTGGTGTGGGATTCATACCGGATTTGGTCAACTTATCTTGGGTACCTTGACTATATTATATGACCGAGAAGTATAGATTATCGGATATTTGGTTTGATTTTTGGGTTTATGTATATATATACATATATTATTATTATTATTATTATTATTATTATTATTATTATAAAAGCATGAATACAATGCCGGTTTAAATAACCTTATAATATTAAGCATAATAACTCATAATAAAAAGGGCATAACCGGAATTCTAGATATTAGCCGTATAATCCTATTAGTTTTAGGACATAATACTACCTTTAGGAATCCTATTAGTACAATTACTTTCCGGCTGTCTAATTCATATAAAATTGAACAAGTAAATATATTTAGTCATGTAATCCTATTACTTTTAGGATATACTTCTTAAAAATTTCTATTACTAATTTAAAACGTATTATAATGTCCTATTACCAATTTAATTTGAGAATCTATTATATTGTCCAAATTCATTTAGAAAAAATGAGAGCCTATATTATTATAAAGGCATAAATATAATATTATTATACCAAAATAGCCCTAAAATATTAAACGAAAGAACTTATAGGGAAAGGGCATAACTGCAATAACTTATATTTTGCACCTACAATACTTTCTTTGCTCGTTTTTAATATTTAAGATTTTAAAATTAATAAAATTTGTCTATTAAATTCTTATTAAAAATATGTAGGAAGGTTTGATCAAATCAATTTCATCAGAATCCTCCGTATTGGCAATACATTATCACTCCATGGATTGCATAAAGAGTTAAATTAAGAAAAAAAAACCTCCACGATAATATATTTTATATTATATTTGAATTATTTTCCTACTCAATATAATATTTGTTATCAATTTTTCGTGTAATATTAAAAATACTCAATTATTAAACAACAACTAAGAAAATATTTAAGAATATAAATGTGTGAAAAAGAGAGAGAAAAATAGTAGATAAGAGTCAATATCACTAATGGTTCTACGGATATAAAGATCTAAAAGTGAAATATCTTTTACTTTTTGAAATAAAATTTATGGTGTATAGATTATAATTAAGATTAAATATTCAAAACAAGAGATGGACTAATATTAAGATCTGATCAATATAGAATAAATTATTTTTTATGTTAAAATCAAATAATTAAATCATTTAATTAATTATTTAGCAAGAGAATCCAATTTAATTATTTTTTTAAAATTCATTATATGAGTAAAATTCTTATTCAAGTTAAAAAAATCTTAGGGTACATAAATTTATTCCATAAAAAGAGCGTTAGAACACAAAGTAAAAAGGTTAATATATTATTAAGATGTTATACAAGTGTCTGAGAAAGCACAATCAAAGTTAAATGCTAAACAAGAACAAGCTTTCAAGACTATATTATAAAGAGTGGACTCTGCTATAATGGGATTATTCTTTGTAGATGCCTCTGGCGGAATCGAAATAATATTTTTATGTCACACATTATTTGCAAATATCATATCAAGAGGCATGACATTGTTAGCAATAATAGCAAGTGGTGAACCAACAACGATTTTATTGTGAGGTCATCCACTTTAGATTTGATATACCTCTTCAAATAACTTAAATAACCATCACAAATATATCAAAGCAGAGCAGTGGTGCTAAAGTTATAAGGAAAGCAAAATTGATAATATGGGATAAAGCACTTATGGCTAAGTGTCAAACGACGTCTCGAGATATATCAGATAGTAATGAACTATTTGGTGAAAAATTAATGGTTTGGGAGGTAATTTATGTCAAGTATTACCAGTAGTTCCAAAATTGATAAAAGCAAAGATTGTAAAAGCTAGCTTGCCAAAGTTATACTTCTAGCCTCAAATGAAAAAGATTCAACTGACAAGAAATATAAAGTAAGAATAGATCCAATATTCAATGTCTTCTTGCTTCGTGTCGGAAACGAATAAGAGCATCCAATAAAAGATGATTTCGTTCTTCCTGAACACTTGGTTATCAAGCTCAATGGTAATAGTAGTGCTTTTAATAAGAGAAATATTTCTATCACTAGATTAAAATGCAATTTGTGCAAATCGCATGATAGAATTTAAAAGATATTTTAACTGGCAGAAATGAATATGTTGATCAACTAAATAAAAGGTTGATTGCAAAATTTTAATAGATAAGTTAGTGTCACCGTATATATAATAAACTAAGTTGATCTTGCATTGTATATAGATTGATTTTGAAGAAAAATATGCTCGTCATGCTACTGAAAAACTTAAATACGCTAAATAGCTTATGTAATAGCACACATATGGTATATAAAAGTTTTGACAATACCGCCACACACGAAAAAAGTATGATACAGGTCAATGTGCTTCTAAGTACATTCTTATCCCTGAATTCAGCTTTCGTCTTCTGATACTAAGTAATATCCTTTTAAATTTGTGTGAAAATAATTTTTAATATGTTTATGTTTTGCAAATATAATAAATAAAGCACAAGGACAAAAATCCTAAATATTGGACTATATTTACCGCAATATGTTTTCTTGCACGAACAACTATATGTTGCACTTTCAAGAGGGATATCAAGATCAACAACAAAAGTTCTGGTTAAGGCAGAGCAACCAAAGGATTAGGAGAAAACATACACAAAAAAATATTGTCCACAAAGAAGTGTTCTTTAAGATATTATCACATTAAATACTTTTAAACTACAATACATAATTATCTAACTAACATGACAAAATTGATCATTTGTGTAAGTTTTGATGATGTCCTTTATTTTAAATTAATGTATTATGCTAATGTAACAATATTTTTCGGCATTTAGATGATTGTTGTATTATTATACATAAAATTTCTCTTATTAATTAAANTATAAGTGTTTATCAAGAATTTTTTTTATTAGTTTTAGTTTAACAACTTAACTAATTGAAATATATATATTTTATATGTCGTAATATACATTTATTGGTCGTATCCCGCACCTGTATCCACACTTGGATCCATATCCCCAAATCCTAAATTTATGTGATGAAGAATCCGACCTCTAGATCGGCAGCTGTATAGGATACCGCACCCGAGTCCGAGCAACATAGGGCATATGCAATATAATCATGACTAAGAAATAGTTAAGGAAAATCAAAAACAAGATATAGTTGCAGTCATTAGTATAATAGACTACAATTTACAAGAAGTAAATCATGTAGCATGGATGTCACATTATTTTAGAGCCACGAACACAGTTCAGCTTACTTTCTTATGGTACCAAAAAGGGACTTGCTGCAGTGGAGTCCTAATGAATCCAAGTGAAGTAAACTTGGCCCCAGTTTGTCTTCTTTATCTGGTATGCAAATTATAACCAAGCTCCAATGAAGACTACAAAAGAGAAGAACCAACAAAAGGACATCAATAGCAGCTCAATGAAAATAGTCTAAGAGAACAGAAAGCTATCTAAAATGCACCAAAACAGACAAAAATATAAATTGGAGCAAAGTCAATGAATCCCTCTGCCTACTATGAATACAAAGATCTTTAATTTCTTTATTTATTTATCTTTGAGAAATAACTAAGAACTCTAAGTTAGTTGACAAAAGATAGAAAAGGTAAATAAATCTCAGGAATTTACCACTTTTATGGAGATATCTATCCATCATCAATAAATTATATTACCTTATCAAAAAAGTAGTTCCTAGCTACCTTACAATAATACAGTAGTTGCTTGTTGAACCAAGAGAAATTCTAACACTCTTTAAACTAGAGTGCTCAGGTTATATGCTCTAAACTTGCCACAATGGTCTCTTGTCTGAACATAACCAAAATGCAACGGCAAAATGAATGACATCATCGAAAACTCAGAAAGTAAACAACCCTACGGCAGCAGAACTAGAGAGCGTGTGAACAACCCTACGGCAGCAGAACTTCTTGGATAGGGTAGCACGAGTGTTCCAATCCTACTGGTGGTGCTGTATATGCCCAGTCCCCTTGGAAAGTAAAGAGACCTCGAAACAGTGGTGTAGTTGCCGAAAAATTGCTCGGCAATGGGATTTTTTCTTCTACAATGACTATTTTCTCACTAAGTGCTCAGATACCATATGAGAGAGGAGAAATTGAGAGAGAACTCACTGTATGTTATTCCCTCAGCTAAATGGGGTCAAATAGTATAGTACATGTTGGCAAAGGCAATCAATTTAATTACATGATTGCAGGGAGAATGAATCACTCTAATTAATTCTAAATGATAAGCACAATAATTACAAGATCCTAACACAAATAAACCAAGTAAAAAAAGCTCCAACAGTCGCGTAGTTAAGTTGAAGTTTTGTAAACCAATCTCATGGTAAAGGAAACCACAGAACTTACTCTTCATGTATGGGAAGAAATATATAGGCTTTCTCAAATATATTCACCCCTTTCCACCACCTTCTTAGTTTGAAAAATGAAGCTTCCTTTTCATTCTGCAGTAGAGAATTAGGAACTAGGTTCAGATTTACTGATATTCAAATGATGTGACACATTGAAAGAACTAGGATAGGAAATGAAAGTAGTATCTATTAGTTCCTTAGCATTCAGTATATATACAACTAGAAAGTCAAGAATAAATGCCATAGTTGTCCAGCATCATACATTTCGCTGCAACTGTACATTTTGTCTTCAGAGTGTTCGGACGGATGTGTTGAAGACATAATTAATTAAATAAAAGTTTGCTCTCTCTAACAACTTAAGCTTTTAATGAGATTGTCGCACACATCAACATGATATCACAGCAGGCAAAGATCCTAGGATCAAGTCTCACCGCCACCCATTATCAACATAAATTTCCACGTGCTTGGCCATGAAAAATAAAGGTGTGCTCTCTAATAGCTTCAGTTTTTAGATGAGACGGTCGCACATTTCAATACTGATAATATCAAGACAAGAAATATTAAGAGAAACATAACATTTACCCAACAATCAATCAATGTCTAAGCACCTTTTACTGGGTCATTTACCTTAAATATCTAATCTTTTCATAAAAAATAAATAAAGACAAGGCCAATGCTCGCTTCAATCAGGTGTATTAAAAATAATCCAAATATCAACTCCATATTTGTCCCAGATTAAAGAAGCTGCAAACAAGCGTCAGTACTTCATTTAGGATAACTCCACCAAGTTCAATATTAAACTATAGCAGAAAAGACTTTCATTTGTCTTGACGTACCCATGTCAAACATGTAAACCATGGCTACTTCGTGCAGATTTTTCAAAAATACACTAAAAATGAGAAAAGAAACTAAACTTGTCCATACTAGATACTTGCACACACCAGGATTCAATCTAAACTTGGAGGCCAAGTTGATGTAACATAGTTATTAATATGGAAATTAGAACAAAATTACAAGTCTTACAGCACAATTTATTAGCTAAACTGTGATGACCCGATAGGTCACTTTGAGTTTTAGCCTTAATTTCCATGATCCGAGACCTCCCGTAGCTTCATTTGATGTTTCTAAGTTTTCGAAAAGCTTTATGTGAAATTTGAAGAAAATGAATTTTTTTACTAAAGATGAGGCTAGAGTTGACTACGGTCAACATTTTGTGTAAACAACCCCGGATCGGTATTTTTACTCATGCTACACTTCTGCACTTCTTGTGTAGATACCAGTGTTGGTCCCAGTGGCGCGTAGCGAGGCTGCTTAGATTTAGCTGCTTTTGGAGACTTGAGGTATAGCTACACGCAGTGTGATTAAACGCGTGCGCTTCTCGCTTAAAGCGCTGAAGCGACACGACTACCATGCGCTTTTCTGCCCTAAAGCGCGACTCACATGAATAAGCGCACGCTTTACCCTAAAAAGCAAGAAGCGAGGCGATGAAAAAAGCGCAGAAAAGCTCGCTTAAGCAAGGTCCAGACATCTACTAGGGTTTTTAATAAAAACTTCGCAAATATTCTGCTGCAAGCGACGACTTCGACGGGTAAGTTTCTTCTTCTCTTCTTCTCTTCTCTTCCTCTTCTGACTTTCTTTAGTTCACTGTTCGACTCCTTTTTCTCTTTTCTTTCTATTTTTTTCAGTTTTTATTGCTCTGTTCTTCTGCCCTAATTTATGCTCTATTTTTTTCGGTGTGCTCTGTTTTTTTGTTATTTTCTGTTCTTTCACTGTTATAGTTCGACTCTTTAACTGTTCTTTTTTTTTTGGTTGTTGATTGTAGTAAATTCAATCTTATTATTCAATGGCATCAAGCCAAAAAAGAGATCCAGCTTGGGCGTATGGAGTTGCAGTTGGCAGTAGTAACACAAAAGTGCAATGTATCTTTTGTCAAAAAATTTATAACGCTGGAATACATCATCACTAGAGACATCTAATTAGTGGTTTTAGAGATGTCAAAGAATGTCCAAGTGTTCTGAATTCTGTTAAGCAAGAAATTGGAGAGTATGTTGAGAAAAAAAATGAGTTAAAAATCCAATGAGCCATGGAGCATCTATGATTAATCTTCTTGATGAAGATAGTCAAATGGATGAGGATGACCTTGAAGTCAATGATATATCAATGAGGCCATCTCCCTCAAAATCTCAAAGAAAGAATTCAACAAATGGAAGTGGATCATCCACCGCCGATAGCAATGTGAAAGGTCCTATTAATCTTTTTTTCTCGCAAAACCAAATGAAAAGAGAAAGGGTGAAGCTATTGACTCAGATTCTTGTAGAAAGAGTTCAAGAGAGCGCGTTGTAGATGCTTTTGCCATGTGGATGTATGATGTGGGGCTCCCTTTTAAATGTGTAAATTACACCGATAGTTTTGGTGAATTCATTAAGGTCGTAGGCCAATATGACCCAAGAATGAAGCCCCCTACCTATCACAAAGTAAGAGTTCCTTGTCTAAAAAAGGAGGTGGAGAAGACAAACAAGATTATCGAGGAGCATAAGGTGCAATGGAAAACTTATGGTTGTTCCATTATGATGGATGAATGGAAAGTAAAAAATGAAAAAATGGTCATTAATGTTTTGGTGAATTCTCCGAGAGGTAGTGTGTTTCTTGAATCTTATGATGCTAGTGACTCTTCAACCGATTCCAATAAAATGTTCAACTTGTTTGAGAAGACAATATTGAAAGTTGGACCGGAAAATGTGGTTCAAGTTGTTATTGATAACGCAAGTGAGAATAAAAAAGTGAGTGACATGTTGAAAGGAGCTTTCTCAAATATTTTATGGACTCCTTGTGCTGATATCAACTTGATGTTTGGTGACATTTTCAAGTTAGCCCCATATTGTACAGGTGAACAAGTCGTTCTTATTTTGTATTTTAACCTTCATGTTAATTGCTTATACTTATTAACTATGAAATTTGATTTCCTATAGTTTTTGCAAAGTCATGTTGTTGAACATGATGAGGAGATACACATACCAAAGAAATTTGGTGAAACCGGCTAAGACAACATTCGCAACAGCTATCATGACTTTGCATAGTTTTTACCTGCAAAAGAAAAATTTGCGAACCTTGTTCATGTCAAGCGAATGGAGTAAGAGTATCTATGCAAAGGAAGCTCTTGGGAAAGAAGTTACGAGATTTATTGTTGGTCCATATTTTTGGAATGACACTGTTCAAGCACTTAAAGTTGGTAATCCTTTGGTTATTGTACTTCATTTGGTGGATGGGGAGAGAAAACCACCAATGGGATACATTTATGAAGCCATGGATAGGGCTAAGAAGTTATTGAGAAGGCATTTGATCATGATAGGAGGAAATATGAGAGAGTTTTTGAAATCATTGATAAAAGGTGGAAGGATCAGCTTAATCAACCTTTACATGCAACAGGGCATATTTTGAACCCCGGATTCTTTTATACAAATAACGAGAAGAAGACTTTAGATGTAGACGTGTGGAAGGGGTATCATGCATGTGTTGCGAAGTTGGTGCCAGATGAAGCGATGCAAGACAAAATAGGGGAAGAGCTTGGTGTGTACATGCAAGCTGATGGAATACTTGGATTAGCATCGGCCATTAGAGGCAGAACCAAATTGGCACCAGGTGAGCAAGTTTTTTCAATTGTTTTACTCTTTAGAGCTTTAACTTTTAAGTTATTAACATCTCAAATAATACTTCTATAGTTGAATGGTGGATGCAATTTGGTTATGAAGTTCCAAACTTGCAACAATTTGCTATTAGAGTTCAAAGCTTAACTTGTAGCTCATCCGGATGAGAGAGAAATTGGAGTGTTTATGAACATGTGAGAAGCTATATTACATTATTACTAAATTAAAGTGTATCTCAATTGTCCTAAGTACTCCTCTTAATTACTTTCTACAACTTATATGCAGATTCGAGTGTTTATGAACATGTGAGAAGCTATATTACATTATTACTAAATTAAAGTGTATCTCAATTGTCCTAAGTACTCCTCTTAATTACTTTCTACAACTTATATGCAGATTGGAGTGTTTATGAACATGTGAGAAGCTATATTACATTATTACTAAATTAAAGTGTATCTCAATTGTCCTAAGTACTCCTCTTAATTACTTTCTACAACTTATATGCAGATTCATACTAAGAAGAGGAATAGGCTTGAGCTAAAGAAACTCAATGATCTCGTGTTCGTAAAAAATAATAGAACATTGGCTCGTCGTTACAAAGCTCGCAATATCATTTATCCAATTTTATTGGATAACATTGATGAAGCAAATGAATGGTTAACCGGAGCCCCCGAAAATCATGAAGAAGAAAAGTATTTGAAGGAGAAGGCCTCACTTTTGGTCATGTTGCTATGGCACGTGGAGTTGAGAAGAATGTTTATGGTTTTAGGGGAAGTACTTTAAGGAGCAAAGAAAGAGTATCTACAAGTACAAGTACATGTACAAGTAGAACCCTAATTGATGAAGCCTCCGATGAAGAAGAAGAAAATGATGACCAATATAATAACTCGAACATGATGACACTTCAAGAGTTTGGAGATATTGTTGAAGAATAGGATGTTGCTCCTTTTGTGATTTGTTTTGCATTTGCTTAATATGTTATGACTCTGGAGGATTATTCACTATCTAGTTTTAGTATCTATTATTTACTTCTTGATTTAAGAATTGAAACATTTGCTTAATATGTTATTTTTATTGAGTTCTTGGCCATTTATCTATGCCTATTTAATTTTTTTTATTTATGTCTTAAATTGCGCTTCACATGAAAAAAGCGCGCGCTTCTCGCTTCGGTGAAGCGAGGCCTCCTCGCTTTTTTCCGCTTTTCGCTCTCCAAAACACTGGCTACACGGCGTCCGCAGCCCTGGAGTCCCTTTCTTTATCTAGTTTCACTGTTTATTTAGTATCAAACAATTGTACTTTATTTCAGAGCGTATTTGAAGTATTCTAGATGCTTTTGTATTCGTGACTCCAAATTCTAGGATATGTTTAGATCACGTCATTTAGTATTTTATCACTCTATTTCAAACTATTACAGTTTATTATTATTAACGTTTTGATTTGAATTGTTAAAACTGGTTAAGTAATTTAGCTAACGTTGGCTTGCCTAGCAAGTGAAATGTTAGGCGCCATCACGGTCCCTAGGGTGGGATTCCAGGTCGTGGCATAAACATGCAAGAAAAAAATGTTAACTGAGAGGGAAAATAATACCTTGCTCAGTACAGCCTCTTTGAGCTTCTTGTAGAAATATGTATTGAAAAAGTGATACTCAACTACATCTGCATGAGCTTTTGTCTTCTGGAGGTACCTAGAAACATGAAAATGCAATTAGTATAACAGATTGAGAAAGTGAGCATCAAGCTTCATCTTACTCCTTCACTAGAAACACCAAAAAATTGACCACCAAAACTTACTAGTTACTAAGACAAAGTTACACAATTCATGAAGTCAAGGTTACGTTTGATTGATAGAGAAGTTCACACAGTATCACACTATCACAATATCAAGCTATCATTATGATTAATACGCTAGTTAATGTGAGAATGCATGGGAGAAAAATCTATTATTGATTAATATTTTATGTTACAATGAGACCTATTTATATGTATACATAACACATAACCTACTCCTATTACATAAGGGACTAGGACTAATTACATATATTCACATAACTATTCTAACACTCCCCCTCAAGCTGGTGCATATAAATTATATGTACCGAGCTTGTTACATATGTAGTTAATACGAGGACCAGTGAGGGACTTGGTGAAAATATCTGCAAGTTGATCATTCAACTTCACAAACTTTGTAGCAATATCTCCCGAGAGTATCTTTTCTCTAACAAAGTGACAGTCAATCTCAATGTGTTTAATTCTCTCATGAAACACTGGATTTCACACAATATGAAGAGCAGCTTGAACACACAAGTCTCATCTGACTAATCTCACCAAATTTCAACTCCTTGAACAACTGTTTGATCCAAATTAGCTCACATGTCGTCATAGCCATTACTCGATATTCTGCTTCTGCACTAAATCGAGCAACCATATTCTGTTTACTGCTCTTCCAAGACGCCAAATTTCCTCCTACTAAGACATAATATCCAGACGTAGAACGTCTATCAAAACGTGATCCTGCCCAATCAGCATCTGAGTATCCAACAATCTGCTCATGGCTTCGATCCTCAAACAATAAACCTTTGCCTGAATTTTATATACCGAAGAATGCGGACAACTGCATCCCAATGACTATCACAGGGAGAATCCATAAACTGACTCACAACACTCACAGGAAAGGAAATGTCAGGTCTAGTCACTGTGAGGTAATTTAATTTACCAACCAACCACCTATATCTAGCAGGATCGCTAAGAGGCTCCCCCTGTCCTGGCAGAAGTTTAGAATTCGGATCCATCGGAGTGTCAACGGTCTACAACCTGTCATTCCTGTATCCTCGAGAATATCTAAGGCATACTTCCGTTGTGAGATCACAATACCTAAGCTAGACTAGCGACCTCAATACCAAGAAAATACTTTAATATGCCCAGATCCATTGTCTGAAAGTGTTGAAAGAGATGTTTCTTCAACTTACTAATACCATCCTAATCATTGTCGGTAATAATAATATCGTCAACATAAATGACTAGATAAATACAGACTTGAAGCAGAATGCCGATAAAACACAAAGTGATCAGCTTCACTACGAGTCATGCTGAATAATTGTGCTGAACTTACCAAACCAGGCTCGAGGAGATTGCTTTAGACCATAGAGGAACCGGCGCAACCGACATACAAGGCCACTACGACAAGATGTTTGATGAATAATCTCATGGGAGTTCATAAACTGCTAAAATGGGGAAGACAAATACTCTAGGGCATTATCACTACAAAATGTATAGATAGAAACCCCAAATTGATTTTGAATTTCAGCGTAGAAGGTCTGGAAAATAGAAAACTCATCGATTTTTTATCAAAAATATCCAAGTGCACCTGGAATAATCATCAATGAAACTTACAAAGTAGCGGAATCCCAAGGTAGAACTGACCCAACTAGGAACCCAAACATCTGAATGGACTAAAGTAAAAGGTGACTCTGCTCGATTATCAAGACGCCGCGGGAAATGGGAGCAAGTATGCTTACCGAGCTGACGTGACTCACACTCTAGAGTGGACAAGTGAGATAAGCCAGGTATCATTTTCTGAAGTTTTGACAAACTGGGATGTCCCAACCATTTATGTAATAAATCAGGTGAATCAGTAACGGGACAAGTTGTTGAAGGAAGACAAGATGTAAGTCCATGTGATTTTGCAAGGATAAGGTAATAAAGTTCATCTGATTCACGTCTGGTACCAATGATCCGCCCCGTACTGCGTTCCTGTATAAAAACAAGGTCATCAAGAAATAAAACAGCAGATTTAAGTGATTTGGCTAAGCGACTAACGGCTATGAGATTAAAAGGACTGCCGGGAATATAAAGAACTGAGTCTAAAGGTGAGGAAGGAAGTGGACTTGCTTGACCTATTGCAGTTGCCATGGTTTGAGACCTATTGGCTATTGTGACTGTTGGAAGAGATTGAGAATATGAAATACTAGTGAAAAGAGATTTGTTACCAGAAATATGATCAAATGCACCTGAATCAATAACCCAAGACTCGGAGGATGAAGATTGGGAGACACAAGTCACGCTATTACATGTTTGAACAACGGAATCTATCTCTGAAGATGTCTGTTTATAAGCTTTATACTGAAGGAACTCAATATAATCCGATAGAGAAACCATCCAACTATTCATAGTATTAGATCCCATGTTGCTACAATTAATTTCTCAAATTCTTGACTAAAAAGTTATAAGATTAACTTGAAATAGTGAAAATCAGTAACCTTTTTGAAAATTAAGATATATCAGGGAAAACATTGTTCACAGCAAAGAGAAAGAGCACTATTTTTCGCCGGAAAGCATTGTTCACGCCGGATAACACTGTAGCTCGCTGGAAAATTCCAAAATTGTCGGAATATGTCGGAAATAGTACCAATGGACTCGGAATGTATGTGCGACTGGGCTGTCCTAAAGAAGCTTGGCCAAAAAATGGCCGGAGAAGCACGCACGCGCCGGCGCGTGGGACAGACGCGCAGACGGAATTGCAGATCTGGGTGGCGCATGAGGAGTCTGTTGCCGGAGAATCTTTTTGGGGTTTGGTCGCCGGAGGTTTCTAAATCTAATGGTGGTGATGGTTTGTACACAACACTCACCAAACGTGAGATGACGCAAATCAGTCACTTAAGTCACTGGAAAATTGCACGGTGACCAAGTTATTTCTTCCCGGATGTCGCTGAAATGACGCACAACGATCTTTTCTCACTAATGCTCTGATACCATGTGAGAATGCACGGGAGAAAAATCTATTATTGATTAATATTCTATGTTACAATGAGCATTATTTATATGTATATATAACACATAACCTACTCCTATTACATAAGGGACTAGGACTAATTATATACATTCACATAACTATTCTAACAGTTAATATGATTTTTATCTTTTGTGTGATCATTTGTGACTCCAACCAATTAAAGATAGATTCATATGAAGGAAACAATTTAGAATAGAAGATGTCAATAATAGAAAGTACTTAGAAGATATATTAAAAGAAAGTTCTTTTACATACAACTGTAATTTGTATTTACTCACCTAATAGGAATTCTTTTCTCTGCGCCAGGAATTAAGAATAGTACACCAACAATGGTAGCATTCAGGCTTTTTTATTATCTCTGGATTAAGGAAACAAGATTCAAGCCTGGGAGCTAAAAGGGCATTCCAGTGCAGTAAGCTCTCTCTATGCTCGAGGTCCTAGGAAGGATTGGACCACATTGGGTCTGTATATGCAGCATTACCTTGTATTTTGCAAGAGATTGTTTTTTCAGCTTGTCACATGTGGGCAACTCTTGCCGGTGCCAAGCTATTAATACACCAAATATATCTTTTTAATAAGCAGCTACTTCTATGATATTAAAATGATATGACAGATTGGAAACACAACTAACAATAATGCAAGTGTTCACCAACTTCAGGCATCCGAGAAGTCAATTTTTTTTTCTATGAAGACAGAAAGGTCTGCGTACACCCACCCCTTCTGGGATTATACTGGGTATGTTGTTGTACAGAAAGTGAAAAGCTATATAAAACAGCTCCTTAAAATTAAGTTCATAAGCAGTTTATATTAGTTATTAGTTAGGAGGTAATTATTAGTATACCATAAATATTTTCAGGCGGCTAACTAGCAATAGTATTAAATGATTGCTCATGTTGGAAAAGGCAAAACGATATTACTGTGATACCCATTAAATTCAAACACAAGATTTCAGAAAAATTAATATTACATGACTGTGTCTGTATAGTAGCTAAGTTCTAGAATAGATATTACACTAGAAATTGCTGTAATGAGAAACAGCAAGTTAGAAAAAGGCTCTATGTTCAAAAGGTGGTTATTTTCTTTGGAACTTACATCGATATTCCTTAATTTCATTCCTTTTTTCCTTTTTCTTAGGGCACACCTGAAGCAACCTATTCCAAGTAGATGTCTAATCTATCTATTCATTGATTGACGAAGTAACTACTAGACAAAATCTTTTTGTAACTTACCGGATGTAGAAATTCATTATAGTCGATGACAAATATGCTTCAGGTGCAAGAGATTCCATGTCCGAACAACAAATTTCAACTGATTCAGGATCAACCCTATTTCAATGGTAAAAACAGTAAAGAAACGCTAAGCAATAAAAGAAAAATCGTATGCCCAAGGTAATAAGTAATGCATACTGGATTAGTAAGGTTCACGCCATACCGTGAAGGATAGTAGACCTTGGTTGCATTTCTGCTGGAAAAGAAGAACAAAAGAAATATCAACAATTGCTCACGAAAACTCAAATCAGGAGCTGATATGTCAATTGTGAGAATAAACATACTAATATATTACCATTCAACAACTTCGTCCATTCGCTCTGCCGCTTTATTTGCATCAGGTTCCTCCTCATCCACAAGAACAACAGCCTCCCCCTAGGGAAATAAAGAACCATATGACGAGAAAGACCACATTAGGAATAAAATACAAGCTCACGACTTCCAAGAGAATGAACTGTATTTAGGGAAAAAAGAACAAATAAAGCATGAGAGGCTACAGCAATTCATCATGTCCCTCCGCAATGTCTTAGCAAACTTTCTTTTTTCTTATTTTTCCTACTTTCGGATCATTATAAACTTCTAACGACTACTGAAACAAGAAGAATACGGAGGGACTAGCGGTTGAAGTAATAATAAGCTCATCAACAAATGTGTACCTACTGCAACTAGCCACCCCCACCCCGTGAAGGAGGAAAGAAAACGAGAGAAAGAAAGAGGTAGTTTTGGTGGTTGTTCGTTTGATCATGGATAAAACGCTATTGTGCTAGACAAACTTACACCAACAATCAGTCAACCCATGCGCCAATGAATTTAATCCCCCAATGCCACAGGAACTCTTACAGCTCAGCATATGCGGCAAGAATTGCTCTAGAACAGAAAATCAGAATATATGCACTGAAACAACCATTTGAGAAGAGTAAGTAGATATTGCTAATCCACCAAAGGACTTAAAGATATCGTCAGAAACCCAATAGCAGCTCCCAATATAGTGACGAAAAAGTAGTACCATGCCTACACGGAAGTAAGCCGGAATGGGATAACAAAGATATGGGGGAAACCTTACATTTGCATGCCTTTTAGTATGTGAAGATTGGGCTTGAGAGGCTTTAGTCCTGAAAAAGAAAAAGGTTAAATCACTCGCAAACATGTTTTCCTTGTGTTTCATTATTTATAACACACTAATAGATACAAATAGCAGCCAAGGGAACAATCATAAAAAGTAAAAAATACATGGCTCATGCATGGTATTTTAAGCAAACAAGTACTACAAATAATGTCTCAATGATAACTTGAAAATCACATGTGCTTCTTTAGAATATCAAATTACTCCCTCTGTCTCCTTTTACGAACACACTTACCATTTCAAACTGCACCAAAGAGAATGGCACATTTCTATCTTTAGAAACAATTCAACTATAAACTTCGTATTTTACCCTTAATGAGATGATTTATAGCTACACAGAGGTCTATAACTTGTTTTAGACCACAAATTTCGAATTTCTTTTTTTCTTTCTTAAACTCCGTGCCCAGTCAAACACTATCACATAAAATGGGATAGAGGAGTAATTTATGAACAAAATGATCTCCCTAGTAACTTTGGACGTAAAAGTTGGAATTCAAGTAGGAAAAAAGGGAACAAAGGGAAGAATTACAAAGAAGTGAGTGATTCAAACGCACAGGAAAAAGTGCACATTCTCAAGCACATGTTTGCCTCGATAAGGGATGGGGGAGTACAATCCCCCCTACCTCTTAACCACATTTTGGTTCATCTTTTGGGGGATTCAGATCATGAACTCCAATTGGTGTCTGTTGTTTAGGTAAATAACCCATCTGGTCTAATAAATGGATTAGCTATCACATGAGGATGCAGGATCAGCATTCCTATGTGATTGGGGAATGGAAATCCTATCGTCCCCTAATAAAGCATAAATTTACGTTTTACTAAGTGGAACACACTCTCCACCTCCAACATTACGGTTGTTGGTTCAAGTCACCATGTTACCATATCAAAAAAGAATTAGAATAGTAAGATAAAAAGAATTTGTTAAATCTCTTTCACTATCATCTGAAAACAATAACCCCCAATCACCTCACAGTAACTCCTTCACCAATCCACTTGTAAGAATCTCCTCTCGAGAGTCTGGTACTTTTAATCCACCTTATAATATTCGTGCACCAAAATATCATTCCTAAATTCGAGCATTTAATCGTGTAGCTCTAATTCTCTGATAAAAACATTTAAATGAAAATGTTATACAGATCAAACTCGAGAGAATTTTATGCAGTTAAGAAGAAAGGAGTATTGTCCACAAATATTGTTGAATGAAACTGAATAAGAAATATCAGTGTAGAAAACCGTAGGGAGATCAAAGATAAGGAGTATTATCCACAAAGATTGCTGAATAAAGACTAAGAAATACCAGTATACAAAAGTGATAGCGAGATCAAAGATTAGGCTGCGGGAATTTTTCCTCCTTTTCTAATTGCTTGGGAATAACTTCTTTTTCCATGACGCTGGAGTCTGTGCCAGCTTGCACATCTCAGCTATTTCAATGGATACTTGCTGCTTCTCACCAGTTGTTTAGCCAAAAATTTTAAAGGACCTAACAGTTTCCGTTATAAAGGACCTATAACTCTCAAATTAGAAATTACAATTCATTTTAAACTTGCAGCAGGCAGAGTGTAACTAAAATGGACAAGGATAGTTGCAGAATAAGAACTACAGAGATCAGATCTGGTAGCTACTATGCAATCACATAATCATAGAAATGAACATTGTTCTACGAGATATATCAAACCATTTCTACACCCATATGCTCTTGTGCATGTCACTCTACAGCGACTCAGCAAGTACAACTGCTGAAAATAAATAAAGTCATATTTAATACTCCATATCGCAAACTGAAAGTTCAGATCTACTTTGGGCCATCTGAAAACATTGTCCACCTTCTTAAAATAGAATACTTTGTCATGACTCCTCTACATATTTCACAGCAGGACATAACTTACAAAGTAAAAACAGGAGCAGCTTTGAAACTTCCATTGCTCTACACTAAAAATTAGTGGACCCATCTTTCACAATGAAACCTAATTCAGTTACCCTAATTCTTAGTGAGTGACAGCTTCCGGTAATAAACAAGATAATAACAGCAACAATAAAGTGATATAACAGAAAAACCATCTATGAAATTTAAGTGAAATAGAAGAACCCAAAAGAAAAGACACATACTTCTTCAAGAAACAGCTGGAAAATTTTTCTTCAGAATAACGAGTAGTAGAAGAGTCCCTTCCCTTTAGATCAACATTTAAAAAACTTTCACCTTTGTCTACAGGAAACTTATAAGGTGCTTCCTGTGACAACAACTCTCGCTTGTGTTTTCTTTGTGAAAACTGCCTGTTTAATGTCCTTTTGTGGTCACAGGGATTCAGAGCATATAATTCTTTTTGGAAAGCATTGGCTGTCTTTGAATCTGCCTGCCAATCAATAAACAAAAGTAATATAAATTAGTGGCAACTCCAAGCAGAAGAAAAATGAGTATAAGATTGAAATTGTACTTTTACTTCCAACTTGTTCAAGAAACAAGCCGCAAACGTGGACTGCGGAGAGGATACAGATGGTGAAGCCTGTGGCTCGAAGTCATCAGGACCTATCACGTCGCTTCCAACTCTCAGGCTGTCCTTTTTGAAGTAATAACTTGAGTAAAGCAACTTAAAATGACAAATAAGACAATTCTGATTTCCACATAGTTGCCCATGTACACGCACACACACACGCACACAAATCCACAACAAATCCTGCTTGTATGAAGAAACTTGCAGAATACCTAGAGAAAAATAAAATATCTTCAAGATGGGTAGTGGGCACACTAGACATAGGCGGGATGTGTGCTCTTTATTCATGCGGGAGCTTCAGCACTATATGGAAGCATGGAAATTTAGATAGAGAAAAGCTCCCATAGAGCCCATTAGAATTAAGTAGAAAAAATGATAAAAATGAAACAAAAAGATGAAGGGCATATAGTACAGCAGAAAATTTTGATGCTTTTTGAAGCTCAGTTATGTGCTTAAAAATCAAAATGATACTAAAAGTGTGAAACTTTTATGTTAAATCATGATGCATGCATCATTATTGGGGATGATTTGGATCTGGGTTGAAGTTGTGTTGTAGCAAATGGATGTCAACATGGATGTTGGAAACAAAAATAAGCTGCAGGGATCCCTCGCAGTAGCCTCGCACCATGTTAACTTCTACGAGAAGAGGTGATATTATGGTATTTCAAGAAGTGAAAACAAGTGCAGCTACGGCCCACTTACGGCCCACTGTGAGATCATCACGAGAGCGTAACTTGGAAATCAAGCGTCTCATGCAACAGCCACGTGAAGCGAGAAAGCCAACTTGTCTTGGCCACTAAGGCGCGCGACAGCCTCACGCTGCGAGCGTATCGCGAGGGTGCCTATGCTATTTTTATAGAAAGCATGTCGGGCAGAGAGAGTTGGACGGCAGTCGGGAGCTAAGGCATGGGACGGATTCCAACCAAGATTCAACCCAAAAACTGAAGTGAGGTATTTATGCTCTATCCATGTTATTTAATGTTAAATAACATAATTAATGACACCTAAAACTCATGATCCTTCTTACATTTTCTAAAATTTACCAAGTTCTTCAAAGAAGATAAGAGTTGGGATTTGGTCTTAGAGGTAATTCTCTTGCCTTGCCTTGATATATAGCCTCTATGAGGTATGTGTAAGCTATTTATGAAGTGTATTGATTTCTCATGGGGAGTTGGGTGGGATGACATTAATGGAGGCTATTTTTGGTCTATGGTAATGATCAGAACGGGATGGATAAGTCAAGGCCTCACCCTAGCTATTTAATTATATGGATTATTGCCTAGACTTGGTTCTGAAAATGGAGAACAGATTATTGACGCAGTTAGGCCATTGTATATGTAAACTGAGGCTTGTTGACAAGTGAAGCCAGCGTAAGGGGGAGACTTGACCTTCTAAGAGTGATTTTCCCTAAATGCATGTCAAAGAAGTATTAGGGAGAGGTGATTAGGCAGAACACAACACATTTTCAGGTTACCGAGGACATGACCCTCAATAAGAGAATGTGGAAGTCGAGGATTAGGGTAGAAGGTTAGAAGGTAATCGAGCGTACTTCCTTTCCGTATCAGTAGTAATAGTATTATTCTCATATTTTCTTATTCTTCGATTTCTATTACTACCTGTTGTTTCATTTGCTTCGGCTATCTTATTATCTTGCTATTGTTACTGCTTCTTTTTCCATGGCTTCTCCACTATCATATTTCTTTCTTAAAATTTTTGTGATTATGCTTTTCTTGAGCCGAGGGTCTATTAGAAACATCTCTACCTTCACAAGGTAGGGATAAGGTTTGCATATACACTACCCTCCCCATAACCCACTTATAATATTACACTAGGTATGTTGTTGTTGTTGTTGCATGCCTTTAAAGTGTTTGACTTAATGCATGAAAGACATTTTGAATATTTTGTGACATATGTACATGCGGGGAAGAGCCTGTGCTAATGTTGCCAAATTGCGAAATACTAAAAAATAAATACAAATGCATGGAATAGGAGTCATTTGGCATCAATATGATATTTTGGGATGAAAAACGAGATGTTTAGAAAACCTTTGATACATATACCTAATTCGAATCGAATTATGACGTTTTGGTGGATACATGGGTTGTCATATGAATGATTAGTTGTCTTGAAGGCATTGTAATGAAAGAATTTATCATGATTGTGAGTCAATGTTCTTGTATATATAAATGTTCATGCATAAATGAGGTAGAGATCTCCAAAGCTATACAAGCTAATCGTGCCTATCGAGGTAGATGCCTCTAAGCTAGAAAGGACTAATTACTTTTCGAGGGTGAGGCATCCAATGCCTAAAAAAACTAATTGTCGAGGTTGAGGCGTCAATGTTCTAAGGAGCTAATTCTCAAGATTGAGGCCTCCAAACCATGATTGTCAAGTAAGATTCCTTAGACACTATGCATGATAGATTATGGTCGTGATATAGACCTCCCACGTGCTTAATGAATGTTGTGCTTCAATGCCCAAACATGAATGATGAATGATGTTTAAGGTGGATGCTCAGCTTGCTAGATTTTTTACGTTGATGAAGCATATAATGTTTTACCAAATCTTGTCCCGCCATTTAGTATCTATTTACTAAGTACCTAGCACACTCACTTCCTAATTGTTGTTTTCTACAGATATGGAGGCTCTAATTGTGGATACTCTCTCCTTGTTCCGCTACGCATTCGGTGGGGAGCCTCACTCATGATCCGGTGGAGGCCAATTTTATAGTTCTGTTCTTTGCAAAGCCAGGTTGCATCCCGTGTACACTAAACATTCTTTTGTTAATCTAGTGGCTCATGACTAGTCCTTAATTGGTAATACATTCTTTTGGGGTATATATGACATTGACATCTTCATATGGAACTTTTACTTTAATGACAATACGAGGACCTTATGTGCAAATAGTTGTTGCCTAATGGTAAGGTGCCGCCAAGAGCCGCTTTGCATGTATATGATGGCACAGGGAAACTCGGTTGTCATATGTGCTTTTAATTAAGCTAATGATTGTATGATGTTGATTCATCTTAAAGCGCGATGCGAAACGAAGTGATGGTTAAGTCGCTTCAGTCTCTTGAAGCGACTCAAGTTCACTAAAGCGTGCACTTCTGTTGTTGAAGCGCGAAGCTTGTCTGATGCGAAATGCGATAAAAGTGTAGCATTTTTTAAGTGTTAACGGGTTGATTTTAAAGAAAAAACAAAAGTTGCGACTCAAAACCTGGGACTCGACAAATTCAGAAGCGCCGACTTCAGAAGCTAGGGTTTTTAGAAGCTTACTTCTTCAAGGTTCTTCAAGGCTCAGGTATAATTCTTTTTCTTCCTCCTTCTCCTTCTTCTTTTTTTCTCCTTCCCTTCTTCTTCTTTTTCGTTTCTGTGCTGTTTGAAGCAAGTGAATGCTGCCATTTATTTTTCTACTTTTTCTTCCCTTGTTCTTCTTCTTCTTATTTTCATCTGCTAAAAATCTCGAAACTGCTGCTTCGTTTTTTATTCTCTTCTTTTTTTCCTTTTCTTCTTCTTAATATTTATTTTTTCACTTTGTTCATCTATTATAGTTTGCCCTTTTCAGTTGATTTTCAAAAAAAAATTGTTGTAGCTGATTATTTCCAATTTGTTAATTAAAAGTTCCAATCCATTTTCAGATTATTCTTTTGAATTGAAGTAGGTAGTTTTTAATTCTTTGCTCTTAGCATATTGTAAAAAGCATCAAAAGATGAAAAGAAAGGGCTGGCTTGGGCTTATGCACAAAGAGCTAGCGAGAGCAATAAGATGGCAATTTGATGTATATTTTCTAACAAGGTTTATAATGTGGGTTTTTCATAACAAACGTCATCTCATCGGTGGTAATCCCAACGTCGCACCTTGACCAGTTTGCCCACCACATGTGAAGGAAAAATTAAAAAAGTTTATGGAGAGGAAAACTGAGTTAAAGACTAAAATGCACTATCAACAAGTGATGATGACTATGAAATGGGAGAAGGTAAAGCCCATGATTTGTTGCTTCCCCAAAAATCACAAAATAGGGAAGGGGACAAACATTGTCTTTGAATTGTGGATCTATCGGTAAGACTAAAGATCCTCTGGATTGTTATTTCCCGCAAAAGCTAGGAGATAAGGCAAGGAAAAGTGGTGATACTCAAGTTGTTGCCAAGGAGATTTTGAGGGATCATGCAATTACAATGGTTACATTGCTTACACGATGGATGTTCGATGCAGGTCTCCCTTTTAATTGTGTCAATTATACTGACACTTTTCAGCTTTTATTGAGGTCGTAGGCCAATTTGGTCCAAGAATGAAGCTCTCCACTTATTATAAAGTTAGAGGTCCTTATCTAAATAAAGAGGTAGAAGAGACAAACAAAATTAGGGAGGATCATAAAGTAGAATGGAACAAGTTTGGATGTTCCACTATGATGGATAAGAGACGGCAAAAAATAAAAAAATGATCATCAATGTGTTGGTGAATTCTCCAAAAGGAAGTTTGTTTCTTAAATCAAATGATACTAGTGACTCTTCTATTGATCCCAACAAAATGTTTTTCTTGTTTGAGAATACTATAGAGAAAGTTGCAGCACAGAATGTTGTTCAAGTAGTAACGGACATGCTAGTCAAAATATTAAAGCGGGTGATATGATGAAGGCACATTCATTAGACTCCATGTGCAGCTCATTGTATAAATTTGATATTCGGTAACATTTTCAAGGAAAGATCCTTCAGTACAGTCTTTAGTTAGGCAGTTAGGGTCCTCTCCTACATTTTTCAAAGATCCTTCTAATGTTCATTAAATAAAATAGAACATTGAGGCATCGTTACAATGGTCGTAATATAATTGATCCAATTAGTTTGGACAATATTGATGAGGCTAATGAATGGCTACTTGGAGTCCCTGAAGATCATGAAGATGAAGAAGTATTTGAGGGAGAGTCTAATTTCACTTGCGGTGATGTTGCGGAGGCACGTGGAGCTGGGGAGAACATCTATGGTTTAAGGAAGAGTACTTCAAGTCATCGGAGGGGAAAAGAAGAAGCTACAAATTTATCCCGGATGATGATGAAGAAGCTGATCAATATAATAATGATACTGGAATAGATTTTGACAATCTTGTAGAGGAATAGAATGTTGATCCTTTAGAATTTAGTTTTGATTTTGCTTGTCCTATGAAAGATTTTGTGTTATCTACTCTTCAATTTTTAAATTGAACATTTGCTTACATGTGTTGTATTTGTGCAAGGCTTATTTGGCATTTTCTTAAAAAGTGCACTTTGCTTCGATGAAGGAACCGCCTTTAATTTAAATGTATAAGAACTTATAAAGTGAAGACAACAGAAAAACCTAACATAGTTCCAACACACACACATAGAGACAGGAAGTATTGACCTTACCGATGGAACAAGAGTCATGCCTCATGCATCCATCAAATTCCTGTCGAAATAGATGTAGCAAGGATGCTCAATTATACGACTTACTCATTGAAAAGGACAAAACATATTAACTTTTGAAGGTGGACTGCGGAATTGCGGAATAATTGACAATATCATTATGATTATGCATCAAAACTCAAAAACCAGTAACACTATTGAAATAACATGGCATGATTGGAAAACGCATAATTTAGTATCAAGACTCAAGAAAATCCCATTATGAATTATAATTTTTACGGTTTCCAGTAAAGAGCTTTTTTTCATCTTATGATGGTGCTAAGGTTCTTTGAAGGAAAGCCTTGGAGTAACTGGTAAAGTTTCTACCATGTGACCAGGAGGTCATGGGTTCGAGCCATGGAAACAGTCTCTTACAGAAATGCAGGGTAAGACTGTGTAGAATAGACCCTTGTGGTCCGATCCTTCTCCGGACTGCCCTATGATGGTGCTAAGGTTTGCAATCCAAATTCCAAGAGAACAAAATTGAAATGCGGTACCTCAGAATTTGAACTGGTCCTTATGTAAAGAATAAAAGAATGTATTAAGTGTTGCTCCAAGGGATACAGGTGCCTTTGCGTAGAACATCATCTTTTTATTCAACACTATATTTTCTATGTAAGAAGGAGTGTGCTAAGAAGCTGAAGAGACCTTTCTTTTTTGTGTATGTCTGTATATTCTTGAATTAGAGAGGATAATATTCCACCGGGTTGATTTGCTACTTTTACAACTTTTATCTTATCTGGAGCTACCGACCTGTGAGTAAACAGTATTTAAAAGAAGAAGAAAGAAGCAACTTCTTATGGATGATAACATCAAAATATGAGGCAGAATAATCTGCAAGGAATCTTTGTTAGTTATTTTCAGCCTCTTCTTTTACTGAAAAGTCGACAATATTTTTCCAAATTGATAAAACTGATGTGGTTGATTATTCTTGTCAGAATGTAGGTTAACTTGATATATATTTTGAAAATCTTCATTCTTGCATAGCATGTGTCAGCCAAATGACTGAAGACGTTCGAGCTTCTTATTGCTAAGTATGCGTGTTGATCTTTGAAATCAAGCAAGCTAATCTCAAAAATATTGAGATAAGAATGTAGTTCTAGTGTTGAAGGAAATATCCTAAAGTTTTCACTGCACACCAAGGGAAGAGCAGAAATAATATTCTCAAGTATCCAAAGGACAAATAACTGAAATTCTTTTTAAAAAAATTATGATGGTGGTGTTTGTGCCAGCTTGAGCACACCTCGACTATTCCACCGAGTACTTGCTACCTCCCACTAGACAAGTACCAGGTAACTCTGACCACCAAGGCTTAGGAAGATGGGAAGAAATCACCTAGTATTTTTTTATCGTTGTTGCGATTTGAACCCGAGAGTCTGAGACCTCATTGTTCTCCACTCACTTCATTGACCATCTATGTTGCTCAGACTCACCAAATGTTGGCGCACATCTCTCTGATCCTGCAAAAATTCACTAATTTTCAAGGATCCAACACGCACCTCGTGTCATTTTTGAAGAGTCCGAGCAACATAGTTGACCAATAGTTCACACCCTTAATTGAGACGCAGTGTCGCTAATAACATTGCTTTTTTTTCCATGCAATCACCTAATCATTCAAGGGGAGGAATAATGGATACAAGAGTAAAATCTAATCTAATAACTCAAGTTATGCACATAAAGTAACAATACAAGAAAATGTGTAGCCCACTTCTTGGAATTACAAAATGAAGAGGTTTCAAAAACTAAAAGTGGAAAGCCAAAGTTTGACTCATGCAAGCAAGAAGGATTGAAATAGATTCAACGCAGCTGATCTTTTGCCAATTGGTACTGATTTTATATTAACAGATCGAAAAGCACAGGTTCAAGGCAAAAGAAGATGGCTTCACATCCAGGAACAATCTCCTTTATGACAAAGAAGGAAGAAAGGAAATAATAGGAATAAAGGATCTATTACCCCTCATCTAGCTTCAAACTTTAATGGTTATGGAAGAAAGGAAATAATAGGAATAAAGGATCTATTAGCCCTCATCTAGCTTCACAAATTTTAATGGTTAAGCTGCAGAAACAGTCGACTCAAAATTAGATGGTTAAGCTGCAAAAACAGTCCATTCCATCTTTCTGAAGTAAGATAAAGGGTGAGTTTGGGTCATAGAAGGAAATCTACTACTCTTCCAAAACCTTTTTTGGCTGGGCGTGCCATTGAAGGCTTATGAGGATTCTAAGGAAAGACCTTCTTAGTGTGTTTCAAAAGGAGCATGGCCTCACACCCCCAAAATAAACCATCACAACAAACCTTGAGAGAATTTTCTCAAATCTCTGTAATAGAAGAAGCAAGAAATTGAACTCCTATGCTGTAAGTCTAAACAAGGAAATAGAAGTCCTTCTGAAACTCGTCATCCTTAATTTGATCGAGGCCTAGAGATTGATGAAGATGGAATGAAGATCATGGGAGACTAGTGTTCAAATCTCTATAAAAACAAAAATACCAAGAGCTTTCTTTCAATCTCCCCAAGTATTAGTGGGCAGATGACACCTATATTGCTGGGATGACACATGTACCTGGTGAAATAATCAAAGATCAAGTAAGCTAGCCCGGACACCGTTTTTAAAAAAAAAAGGTCAATAGTACTACTCCCTCCATCCCAATTTATGTGACAGTCTTTTCTTTTTGCTCAGTGGCAAAAAGAATGACACCTATCTATATTTAGTAATAATTTAACTTTAAAATGCTTACTTTGCCCTTAATGAGGTGATTTATAACCACACAAATATCTATCACTCATTTTAGACCACAAATTTCAAAAGTCTTTCTCTCTTTCTTAAACGCAGTACTTAGTCGAACACCGTCACATAAATTGGGACGGAGGGAGTAGTATTTTGTTCACATTTCAATGGCACTAAAATTGTTTAAGAAAATTTTATAGCAGTAAGTAAGCTCACAATCAATATAAATTTGGCTAAGCCATTTATATCATTTTGATTGCACGGAAAAAAATAAGCTACGAAAGCAACAATTATCAATTTATTTCTAGCAACTATTTCCCTTTCAGAATATCTCTTATTCCTCTAGCACTGAATTTCCATGTTATGCACAGAGGACCGTTTTTGCTGTCTTTGAAATCGGAAAGCCTTGCATATCAATATTTTCACTAACAATTGCTTTTCGCATTAGCCATCCCATGCCAAGTAGCATAAGAAACATCATTTTTTTTATCAAAGCATTAAAATTTTATTAAAAATGGAAAATAACACCGTATACAAGAAATATACCCAAAAAAGTAGAAAACTTTGCAAAAAGATATGGTTTTCTACAAACACCTAATCTTCTACACTTACCGGAACCTCGGGGTAGCATCAAAAGAATAAGGGATAAAAGGCACCTCAAGTGAACAAAATTCTTCTCTATTCCATCATAAGCTCTCCTATTTCTCTCTCCATATGGTCCATATATGTATTAGTGGAGCAACATCCCACGCCCTGTGCCTTCTTTCCTATCCTCAAAATTCCAGCTAAACAAAAATTCTCTAACTGTGCCTGGCATCACCCGTTGATGACTGAACAATACAGTACTTCCCACAAGCAAGACGATATCTGACACTTTAAAAGAAGGTGATTCACGTTTTCACTCGAACCTTATACATGAAGCACCAACTGACAAATGTAATCCTCCTCTTCCTCAGATTCTCAATCGTCAAGATTACCCCCTTGCGGCTAGCCAAGTTAAAAAACATACCTTTGTTGAAACCCTTCGGATCCACTCTAAGAGGTATAGAGAAGAAGATTCCTCCCTGCCCAAAGAGATTCACATAATAGGACTTACTACTCTTATTACACTCATAGTCTCTGAAGGATGAGAACCAACCATGTAGCATCTACATTGAGAATTCAAGTATTTTATACGTCATTATTCTGATCCTTTATAGAAGCTACCTGTAATAATGAACTTGCAAAATGAATTTGTTTATCATAAAGAGATTCGCTGTTACTAACCCTGCTTCACCTTAACTGACATGAACAAGTAAATATTCTGTCTGGAAAAGACATCATTTATTTCCCTTCCTCCATCAACAAATATAATGGCAAGCCTATGACATACTTCTTTTGTAAAGTAGCTTGTTCAATCTTTGGAATCTTGTTACCTCTCAATCTTCCAAGTTCTTCTAAGCTCAACTCGCAGTGAACTGCTCCACCATGAAGCCTTCGTATATGTTGGACTGACATCTTTGTTTGGCGTTAAATCCTGTACATAGAAAAGTGATACTCAAAGTATTGTTCCAGCACCATTTCTCTCTCCAAAAAGTTACCCTACTCACATCGCCCACCCTGAAAGAAACATTCTCATAAACTCTTCCCACCCCTTCAAAATTTCTTCCACAGACCGCACCGATAAAGAAGTATGACATCATTAATCCTCCATTCCCCTTCCAAAACCACATATATCTCCGCAATCACCCCCTCCAAAGAGCATTCTCCTCTATCCTAGATCTCCACAACCACTTTTCAGTAGCGCCTTGTTGAAAACCTTCAAATCATTAATGCCAACTCCTTGGTGTAGTTACAGTCTCCCAATATAAAACATCATTATCATCAGACATCATTGCAAAATAGAGGATTTACTGACTCCTCGTGTTTGAATGTTTCTCAACATGAAAGAGTAGTAGACAATAATAACCTATTTTTTAATCAATCAAAAAAATGATAACCTCTTAATTGAATGTTATCTTGGGTTAAAAATAGCTCACGCAGCTGTCCAGCCAGAGAATGAGACCAAAAAATAACTTTACTTTACAAAGAGATCGTGATCTTCTCTTTCCTTATGTCGTTATCTTGTTCATCCATGTTAAGAACCTAGTATTGCAAGTACGTGTTTGGAGCTTAGTTTGACAAATTGAGCTGAGGTAAGGTCAATGCATAGCAAAATGCTTGAAGTGGTTCATTAAACTTTCAGTCATTATTACGGGCTCCATATAAGATTTCTTCTCAATAAAGAAGATTAAGACAAGGTGACCCTCTGTACGTTTATTGTTTATAATGATGATGAAAGGTCTCAACTTGATGCTCAAAAAAGTCATACCATGCAGGGTTTTGACAATGGGAGAGAAGTTATCTATTTTGTAACTCTAGTAGATTATCTGCTATACATACTCTTCATACTAATTCGTGTGAATAGCAAACGGTTGGAGTATTTGAGGTCTCATTTGTTTTTTTTAAGATTAAGATGTTTGAATCTGAATTCACATCTGAATTTTAAGATGTGTATTAAGATTAGAACGTTTGAATCTGAATACACATCTGAATATCAAGATGTGTATTAAGATCTGAATACTAAATGATTAACTGTCTGTTTTTTCAATATCTGAATGTATAAAATTTATCTTTACTTAATAATTGATAAATATAAATACAAATAAAATACTAATTAACATAATATTCTATCAAAAAATTATTTATTAATAATAATATGATAGTTGATGGTGGTGATGGCTAATGATGGTGCTTATGCAGGCCAATTAGAGGTGGTGATTTTGGTTGGTGGTAGTGGTTCTTGGTAGTTTATAATTGTAGGTGTTGACGACTATGGTTCATGATGGTGGTGCGAGTGGTTGGTGGTGGTAGTTAAGGTGGATGGGCGGGTGGAGGTGGTAGTTGATAATGGTGGTGATCATGGTGGATGGTAGTCGATAACGGTAGGGGTTGTGGGTGGTGTATTAATTGATAATGGTGGGCGGTAGAGGTTATGGTTAAGATGGTAGTGGCGGGTGATGTATTAGTCGATAATGGTAGGCGATAGCAGTTATAGTTAAGATGGTAGCGATGGGTGGTGGCGGTCGGTAAAAATGGTAGTTGTGGTTGAGTATGGTGGTGGTGGATTATGCAAGGTGGTAGTTGATAATGGTGAGTGGTGGCGACGATTAGTAGGGAATGTAAATGATAGCATCTTAATGAAATTAAGTCTCTGTTATAGATCTTAATCATTCAGACCGATTAAGTGGATGTGAAATAAACAAAATAAATGCACTTAATGATTAAGATCTAAATGATTAAGGTTCAGAGCTAAAAATACAAACGCACTTAATGTCTGTGATCTGAATGATTAAGATTCAGACCTCCATTAAGTGAAAACAAATGAGGCCTAAGAGTCTTTATTTTTATTTTTTATAAGGTGTATCTAAGAGTCATCATAACTGTTTTTGAAGCTATCATTCATAAAAATCTGCCAAACATTTCGCTTTTCCAGTCGATGAAGCCCAAAGAACTGGAGATTTGGATGGACACAATCTTCAGATGCAACATTGACTCTCTACCTACTTTGGCATGCCTCTGGGGGAAAGTCTCTGGACATTTGGAATCAAGTGATCGAGAAGGAACAAAAAAATTATCAAGCAGGAAAAGACAACACTTGTCCTTGGGTGGGAGACTCAATATGATTAGCAGTATTATGGATACTTTTTACCAACCTATATGACGGTTCTATCCGCTATGCCAACAAAAGTAGAGAATGCTTTTGGCAGAGCTAGAAGCAACTTCCTATGAGAAAAGAAAGAACAGTGACATTAGATTATGAAAGATATAAGAACGGTTGATAATAAACTAAAAATGAAGTTGAGACCGGACAAAAAAGGATTTGTGAATTCCTACAAATTGATGATAGTTTGTTCCAAAACACCTTATCTTTATCGGTGTAAGATGTACTATATAGAAACTAGAAATATGTGTGAAGGTAATAAATGATTGCATTCCACATGCCAAAAATGGAAGATATAGATCAAGAATAATATATTTACGGAAGTAATATATGACTCCTCCTTGACTGTTATGAGGTGTATTTATTAGGTGACTTGAGCTTGATTTGTAGATTTCATTGTTTTCATTAGCATTAATATTCAATACTCTCCCTCAAGATGGAGCAGATAAAACCATATGCACCAAGCTTGTTATAAATATACCGACTTCACAGTCCTACAATAGCCAACGTAAAGATGTCTGCTAGTCGTTCATTTGAGCTAAATGACTCTCTGGCAATTTTCTTAGGAAGAACTTTCTCCGAACAGAGTAGCAATTTAAGTTTATATGCTTTGTGTTTTGATGAAAAACCTAGATTTAGAACTATGTCCCATGCTTGCTTAATTATCACTACATAACTTTGTTTCATTAATGTCTACAAACTTATATTCTTGAAGTAATTATTAATCGATGTAAGCTCACAAGCTTTTGCCATGAATCAATATTCAATTTTCTGCAATATATCGAGTAACACTGTTCCACTTCTTACTTTTCCGTGATACAACATTCCCACCAACAAAAAACACAATATCCAGATGTACATTATCGATCAATTGGAGAATAAGCTGAACCTGCATCAGATTATGCTATACTACGAGTGTTCTTTTTCTTCATATAACAATCCTTGACCTGGTGCTTTCTTGATATATCTTAGGATCCATAAAAAGCATCCCAATGACTAGTATATGAATATGCTTACTACACCTATACCAAAAGAAATGATTAGACTGGTAAAGGTGAGATAGTTTAATTTTCCAACCAGCCTTCAATAGCTTTATGATCTGAACATGGATCCTCCTAATCTGTTAACAGCTTACAATTTGCATACATTATGCATGGGACTATCAACAGCCCTGCAGTCCATCATAATGAAATACTAACACACACTTCGTCTGCGAACTAATAATATCATCTCTTGACTAGGTGACGTCAATGCCAAGCAGGTAGTTCAATGACCTAAATCCTTGGCTTGAAATGTCCGTCAAGATGTTTCTTTAACTGGATGAATTTCTCAGTCATCTTTCGCAATGAGTCTGATAACTATGTTGTCTACATACACCACCACATAAGCACATTAACCAGGTGAAATATGAGTAAAACACTGAGTGATCTGCATCACTGCGTTCCTTACCAAAATGTTGAATAAAAATACTGAACTTTCCAACACTAGCTCGTAGAGACTGTTTCAATCAAAAACAAATCCCACATTTTGCACGAAATGGTACTCTACATAGCTCATAATCACAGTAGTCCTAGTTCATACTTTTCCAAACTGTACCAAGACGTTAAGTACAGCAATTCAATCACTATTTTCTCTTGTCCAGCTGACTGTAAAACAATAATAGCATTCTAATAAATTACTATCATGATTAAAATTTTACGAAATGCAGTGAATTCACAAGCACGAAAATACCTACAAGCACACAATGCTAGAAATGGAACTGTGAAATTAACCAAAGAGGAACAGAATAAAAGTCAAAGTCAAACCTTTTGGGAACCGACCCGCTGCCGTCGTTCTAATTCACCCTCGTGCAGTTTGATATTTGCCCTAAGCTTTTTGCCTCCATCGCTTAACCTAGCACCAATGGTGCCGGACAGAGACCTTTTAAGCCTCCTAATTTTTTCGGTCAATTCGGTATTTGATAAGTTGGAAAGTCCTTCTTTATGCTCCTCTCCGTCCATGGCGGAGGTAACCATCAGCTCCGCCGGAGGGTCTTCGTCGTCGTTGATTATTTTTTCCCAGTCTATAGAAAATCTCATAGGGAAGACCGGGGGAGGGGGAGGGGGGGGGTTAATTGTCAGATTCTCTACTCTACAACTTTTTTGTACTAGTTAATTGATCCGCGCAATATTTCTTTAGCTAGTTGAGTAGTCCGCGCTTCTAGCGGCTACGAAGAAAAGTAAATTTGCGATACTATTTTGTTGTAAAGTTAACCGAGATATATAACAGATAGAAATTTTCGTGTATGTACTTCATCAATAGACTAACAGGAAAAATTAAAAAATCAAATATCTTTTTATTAATTCTTTAAAATAAAAGAGGATTATCGTCTAATTCACAACTACTTATTGGCAAAGATAAAAAGACATATCATGAAGATCAGCATCACGAAGCTTAGCCTCACTTTTCAGCAGGAAATGTTCTTTTCTTAGAGTAATACATCTCTATCCTAATCACTTTTAGAATTTACATCCCTATCCTATCCTAATGCTTCCCCTCTTAAATTTTTACGTAAATATTATTAATTGTCGTACTTACTTATTTGTGGTGGTTGATTATCACTTCTTACTATGATTAAACTGTTGGATGAAGTGCAAATATTTAATTCAATTGATAAGAAAAAAATCATGTGATCTAAATTAAATGCTTTGCAAAAATGCATAGTTCTCAATGTAACAAATTTCTATACATGAACAATGAAGAATATATACAATACTTCTTTGGGAAAAAAGGCATACTTATGAAAATACAATACTACTTCATATTTCAAAGAAACTCAATGTCACGACCCGTATTTTCCATCTTTGGGAGTCGTGATGGCGCCTACTAGTGAAAGCTAGGCAAGCCGACCATTTGAACTAATTACCTTTTTCCCATTTTAATTCTTTAACAAATGTAAATCAACAGTTTATAAACAGCGGAAATTTAAAACGAGCGGAAGAAACAATTAAACCATTTAAATAATTCCAACATGATTTCTTAATCAAAAACTACCCAAGACTGGTGTCACAACTCCACAGACGGTCTAAGAATTCTACAAACAAGGTCTGAAAAATAAATGCAACACTATTTCTGAATTACATAAGTGAAATGGGAAGAAAAGATAGAGGGAGACGCCAGGGCCTGCGGACGCCTGCAGGACTACCTTGGATCTCTGTATGGACTGAAGGCAGCCACCCCAAGCTAATGTCCAAAAGCTGCTGCTCCGGGATCTGCACACATTGTAGAGTGTAGTATCAGCACAACCGAACCTCATGTGTTGGTAAGTGCCTATCCTAACCCCGGCGAAGTAGTGACGAGGCTAGGACAAGACTACCAACTAAACATGTACAGTTAAAGCATATATATACGTAGCAAGTAATAATAAAGGAAACTAGCAGTTAAAGATGGGAGGGACATGCTGTGGGGGATATCATTTACCAACAGTAACTCAGAAGAAAAACATAAAGAACAATCTAAAATTTGCAGTAGAAAGAATAAGGAAAACAGTAATAAATCAATATCCACTTTTATCCTTTACTGTTGCGGCGCGCAACCCGATCCAAATCATAAAAATATTGTTGCGGCGTGCAACCTCATCCATATCATATATCACTATTGCGGCTAATGGTGTAAATGGATATTCGAAAACCGACTAAACCGACCGAACCGTACCGCACCGAACCGATTTTTAGGTTTCCGTTTTTATATAAATATATAACCGCACCGATAATTAGGGTAGGTTTTTTATTTTATAAAAATAAACCGAAAAAATACCGAACCGTACCGAATAAATTTTACATATGGAAAATATATTTATTTGGTAAGTTTAAAAATAATAATGCACTAAATTTTCTTTCAGCCTTGGAATTATGAAAACTATTACGAGTCAACAAGTAATTAAACTCAAAATACTAATTCCTAAAACCTACTATGCTACTTCTACTTAAACTAAATTATTTCAAGTATCTTTATTAGCAAGACACAAAGTATTTTATCGATTATGAGTAGCAAACTACAATGTATTGAATATGTTTCCTTTCATATAATTTAGATTTATCTTTTTGAATATTTTATCTTCTATAGACTTTATTCTTGAGTCTCATCTTGGTATATCTTTCAACTCGTGTGATTTATATTTTCTTTGTCTTTGTTTGATTTCTTTTACGTTGTTGTAGAACAGTTGATGGATCTATATTTTAGACATCTTTTTTTTTTAATTCATCACCTTTTAAACAGTAAAAATGTCTAGAGAATTTCGCTAAATCCTATAAAAACGTATGTTATTGCATTCTACTTCTACTAGTGAATTTTACATGATATTTAAAAAAATACCGAAAATTAACCGAACCGTACCGATACCGAAGAGAAACCGACATGATTGGGACGGTTTCGAAAAGTCTAATTTTGATTATACATAATAGAATAACCGAAAAAATGGTATGGTACAATTTTTATGAAATAACCGTCCGAACCAAACCATTGACACCCTTAATTGCGGCGTGCAACACGATCTAAATATAATATTGTTGCGGCGTGCAACCCGACCCAAATATAATATTATTGCGGTGTACAACCCGATCCAAATATATAATTCAACACCAATCACAAAAGAGTCCCGACAAGGGAACAATAAGGAGACAACAATATCCCGACAAAGGAACAATAAGGGAACAACAATATCCCGGCAAGAGAAACGACGGTAAGAAGTAAATACGTCTCGACAAGGGAATCAGCTATAACCAAACTTGTTCTAACATTTAACTTCACAAAATGAACATCTAGAACCAATACTCAACCATAAGCAATTTCTACGAGAATAATCATAATTCTTGCCCAACACAGAGAATCAACAACTTAGGCATTTGTAGTACTTATTAAGAACACAACGACTTCAATTTAAGACTCACAGGCATACTTGACAACGACTTCAATTTAAGACTCACGGGCATACTTGACAACGACATATAGATACTCGTCACCATGCCTATACGTCGTATGCAACAAATAACACATAGCGAATAGGACACAACTCCTAATCCTCAAGCTAAGGTTAGACCAAACACTTACCTCAAACTTTCACGGTCAACTCAAGCCTCAAACACCGCTTTTCCTTTAGAATTCGCCTCCAAATAACTCGTATCTAGTCCAAATTGATTTAACAACATCAATAAATGCTAAAGAATTCATACTCAATGCTTAATTATAATTTTTTTTTCATTTTCCCCAAAAAGTCAAAAATTGACCCCGTACTCGCTTGGTCAAAATACGAGGTTCGGACCAAAACTCGATCACCTATTCACCCACGAGCCCGAATATATAATTAGTTTCGAAATCCGACCCCAAAACAATGTCTAAATTTCAATTATTCAAAAAGCCCTATCTCTACCTAAATTCCCAATTTTCTACCATTAAAACCCTAGAATTTTAGATAAAAGTTGATGAAATACATTAGAGAGTTGAAAGAATCAGTTAGTGGACACTTACTTATGATTGGGGAAGAAAATCTCTTGAGAAAATCGCCCTAGGACTTCTATTTTTGGTGGAAATTTTAAAGAGAAAATGTTGAAGTTTGTTTTAAAAAAAAAACTTCACTGCCCGACTCTTGCACCTACGGTGCTTGGGTCGCACCTGCGAAAAATTGATCGCTTCTACGGAAATGACTAGACCCGCTGGGGCCGCTTCTGCGGAAATGACTAGGCTCGTTGGGGCCGCACCTGCGATAGGGGATCTGCTCCTGCGGAACCGGTTTTGCAGAAGCTTGTCCGCATCTGCAAGAGGGCTGGACAGCACCTGCGACCCTATATGCGTACCTGCGAGCTCGCACCTGCGGTGCTTGACTCGCAGGTGCAGTTACACTAGAATGATGCAACAACAGTGTTTTTCCTAAGTCTAAACACCCCAGAATCTACCCGAAATTCACCCGAGCCCTCGGGTGTCACACCTCCTTTTTCCGCCCCGGCGAGGGTGCGTGGGGAGTTTTCTCCAATTGAAGGACAGTCGAAACGGGATTTCTTTGTTTGGTTCAGAGTCGCCACTTGGGAATTTTAAGGCGTCCCAAGTCACCAATTTTAATCCCTGAATCGA